GAGGCCCAAGGTCCAGGAGACTTAACACACATTCAAACTGATGTCCTGCCCTTGGACATTGCCCTATATTTCACTTACACTTTTCCTAAATTGTAGTAATTCAAGAATTGCACTTAATAGGTTATTTTACATGAAGTCTTGCTGCAAAGTACAGATTAATACAAATTGAATCATAAGACTTCATTGCCCAGTATGTTACATTACATTAAAGGAAGAGAATCTAATATATTCCAAGATCACACACTGCACACTGTGTGAGGCAGTCAGAATATAGAATAGTGGAGCTTGCAGAAGATGGAAAGGCTGTCAAGTTAGTGCCCTTAAAATGTCAGTGTCATTGGACACTGAATACATAATAGGGCTAGTGCTGGGGATTCTTGCATTTTGCAAAGACAAAGAAAGGAATCTCAGTTAAACTACTTACTGGCTTTTGAATGGGAAGGATATTGCAGGCAGATGTCACTATGGAATATGAATGTAGCCAGCACCCAACCCTGAGACATAGCCTGTTGATAAAACATTACAGAACTCAGGTTGCATGCAAGAGATGTGTGTTAACCATAGAGGAAACCACACTGAGACAAAAAGGCTAAGCAATCCAGAGCAGCTTGCTCATCTCATCTACGACAGGCTTCTCAAGACCTGAGCTCAGAAAGGGGCTTGGGGAAAATGAGTTGAGATAATTTTAACCTTGAGCATTGACTGCCCTCCTAGAGTGAGTGGTTCATTTTCTACAGAGAGAAATACAAACTGATGAAATCCCCGGGATACCCACCACTCTCCTTAACTGCTGAATATACTATCACCCTAGAGTTCTGCAAGCAGCAAGGAGGGGGGAGGAGGAGAGGGCAGGAAGGGGAGGGCGGGAAGGGGAGGGGGCATAGGGCAGAGTCAGTGACAAGAGGCTGACTCGGGTGTCTCTACAGTGGCAATAGATAACGAGACCCATGTCTCCTGAGGTTACATTGCTCCCGGGATAGTTTACATTGTTTAAATATGAAGCCAACTTCAGAATTCAGTAAAGTTCTGTGAGCTGGTTGGCTGGCTCCTTTAAAGGACCTCCTCTGTAACTGGAATTCCCAAAGAGGCCGTGGCCCACAGGTTGAGAACCACCAATTCAGAGCTAGAGCAATTCTGTTGAAATTTCTAGACTTTTGGTGATCAGAAAAGCAGAGCCAGTGCCAGGTTGAAGAATTTGGTTTCTCCCAGACCCTTAACTTCGCTTGTCTTTGGAGCCGAGCGAACTGAAGCTATTAGACTCGTCAGGAGTAAAGAGAGCAATTACAGGTGTTGAAGAGATTTCTGGGCCAGGTGTGGTGAGGTGTGCCTTTAGTCACAGCATTTCAAGATGGAAGCAGGAGGGTCAGGAATTCAAAGCCAACCTCGGCAGAGCGGGTTTGCTCAAGGCCAGCCAGAGATGCATGAAACTCTGTCTTAAAGGAACAAAAAGAGAAAAGGAACCACCCTGGCCCAGCACAGCATTTGGAAGGGGGTGCAGGAGGGCCACAAGGGCAGTGTAGACAAACTCTGCCTCAAAAAAAGGAAATAAAGATGAAGTTGGTTTTTTTTAAAGTCAGTTAGTTGATTGCTTCAGTAAAGAAAAAGCAGTTTATAAAATCTAGCACCCATTTATGATTAAAAAGCAAACCTTGTACTAAATAGGATATGTTACTCTGAAATAAATACCTATTTAAAAGCAAAGCAACAAACAAAACAAAAACCCACAGCAATAAGTTGCAGTGAAATACTGAAAAATCTCACTCTGAAATCCTCCTGCTCAAAAACTGAATGGTTACTGCCCACAGGGATCTCAGCCAAGCTACTAAGCTAAGAAGAGTGTTTCAGCACAGGACAATCAACACCTCACAACCAGGAGGTCACGTGACTCTGCATGTGGGGAACAGAAAAGACCACGCTACATACATAGTACATAACTAACTTGAGAAAAGCCATTGCATACAAGGTTGTTAAACACACACACACACACACACACACACACACGCTATAGAAAGAAAAAAATTAATGCTTTTTAAATATGTGGAGTAGTAACCAGCCTCCCCCGAGCAAAATGTGAAAAGGTCAGAAGTGACAGGATGTGACCCAGGAAATGAGACAATATTAGGATGGATACAGAATGCTCCAAAGAGCCAGTCAGCACTTCAGTACCAGTGGAGAAAATCAGTGACGTGGGTGACTGTTCACTCACCCAGAAGAGCCAGGCTCCATTCAGAGCACTGGAGGCCAGGAGTAGGGGGGAGCGTCTCTTCCTCAGAGATGAGATTTACAGCTTCACTAATCTTTTTCTTATGCAACGTGGGCTCTTGCTCTGAGTCAATGTAGAAGAAAGAACAGGCAAAAGTGTTGATGGAATAAACCACACTAACTTTCATTTGTTCTCCGCCCAAGAAGGGAAGGAGAGTTTGCTTGCTTGATGCTTTTAAAGTCACAGCATGGAACATAAAATGTATCTAAATAGTGTCTGAGAGGAGAAAGGCACACGAGACATACAACAATGGAGACATACAACAATGGAGACATACAACAATGGGATTTGATGAACTGACGGGGCAGAGAAGAGCCATGCTGCAGAGCTTTTGGGTCACTGGTGCAAGAAGCAAATCAAAGTCCCTCCCTGTCTGCTTTTGTGCTACCAGCCTCACTAAGCCCTTTTCTGTGCGGCATCCACACTGCGTGCTATGCAGATGCTAGAACACTATGCAAATGTACAGCCTGCATGTTCTTAGCCAATGCCAGGTCCACTGAATTTCAGTTTCCACATATTCACTTCATCCACCTACTCTGGAGGGCTCCTCCCTCACATTTCATTCACTTCAACAAGAGACAAGGTGTTCTAGTAATTGTGGAAAGATGATATAGTCTCTCCAATCCTTTTCATCTTCAAGGAGGTAAAGGAAGCTCACGAACCTTCACACCTCAGCTTATGCATCGTCAGTGGCATCCATGCCCAGTGCAGCGAGATTTCACACAAACACCAGTGTGAAATTTGAGAATCTACATCATTAGGAGGCCCTCAAACTCCTGACACCTCAAACAGAAACATTGCATGTGCCTGTCTTGATTATTCCCCCTATTGCTAAACTTAAAAACAAAAAGCCACGCCCTGTGAAGCCAAGCTGAGTCTAATTCAGTCCTAATTCGGGTATCAGCAGCATGAATTGCTTTATGGAAGACAAATGACTGCTTTGTGGTCAAGAGCATGTGACAAACCCTAGCTTCTCACATCTCCATGCTTCTGGGTCCCTTTCTTCCATCAGTTTAACGCCCAATGCCTAGTGAGACAAAGCGAAATTATTTCAGATGTGTGAGATGTCACATCAGGTTCCTAAAGCGTAGCACATGTCCCCGCACGGACATTTGTACTGTGTACCCACCTCCTCTGGTCTTCTCGGGTAACCCCATTTATGAGCGCTGGCATCTTCTAATCCATGTCTTGTTTCATTTGTCAACCAAAAGGGTTAAAAGAGATTAAGTGTGCTTTATTTTTATATTCTCTTCCCTCACCTTTGCTCCCTGAAGAATAAACTTCATGAAGTCAGAGACGCAGTAGTGCAGGCCTGTAATGAGCGCCCCGAAAGCAGAGATGGGAGAGATGCCCAAGTTTAGTGTCAGCACAGTGAGACCTCGTGTCAAGGAAAGGGAAAACCAAAATCACCTCCCAAACAGACAGTAGCTATTGGTGCCTTGAACTGTCCCTAGCACACTGTATGTAACCAAACACAGACCTTACCTAGTGGACCTTGAGATTTCAAATAAGAATTGCTAGGTTACACATTTGAAAAAGATTTTTTCAAAAATGTCTTTGTTTAAAAAACGAAAAAAGTTAACTTAAAGTCCAAGCAAATGGTGCCGTTATGCAGATTATCTAAGAGTAAATGCTGCACACAGGATAGAACTAATTCAAGTCCACTGATAAATAGCCAGGCCTTCGCCAAGCCTCGGCTTGCTCAGTGTAAAAGAGGAAGACCGTATCAGCAACGCTATTGTGATAACTGTGGTGTGTGTGAGCCTGTAGCACACACCAGTGTTGATGAAAGGGAGGTGACAATGTTGTCACCATCAGCATCATCACATTATAGTCCAAACCCGTTTATCATTTCCAAATAATTCAGGGTAAGAATGGGAATCACTTTCTAAGTCCACATAACTCAAACAAACAAACCTCAGGAGGGGGTGTGGGGTGGGGAACACGATAAACTCTACTCCCCAGGCACTTCATTACAGTACAATAAGAATGTCCACAAGGAAAGTGGAATTCTAAAATTAGGCAGATTTAATTCAAAACCGTTTACTCAAATATTGGCTGTAAAACAGAAACGTCTATTGTCCTTGTTAGCCTCTAGGAAAGGAAGGACCAGTTTCTGTAAGAATGAGTATAGCTAGCTCCTACACTAGCTCTCCAGTGGAAGGCCATGCAGCCAAGAATACTTGGCCTTGACGGGCTGGGGGTGGGGTGAAGTGGGGGCTCAGAGTTGGGAGGAAGAAGAACCTAGGAAGAGTTTAGGTAGGGAGTGTGAATATAATCGAAATGCACTGGATGAAATTTGCAAAGAACTTATGAATAAGGTTTAAGCCATTCTACTATTTCTCAACACCCTGCTTGGAGAAAAAGCATGATGTGAACCAAGCAGTCCATGCACCTGGGCTGTAAGCACCTGTGTGTGATGGAGCAGTCACTCATGGCTGCTAATGCCTTCTTTCCTTTCTCACATTCCAGGGGATTCAATGTCTATGGGAACTGTGTGTGCGTGCGTGCATATGTGTGTGTGTGTGTGTGTGTGTGCACGCGCGCGCGCATGCGTGCCTGTGTGTTTGCGTGTGTGCGTGTGTGTAAAACTGCACCAAGTAATGTCTCGGTGTGTTTGTCATCTCATAACAAACTTGCATTTATTAATCCTGTTTACTTCAGTGATACAATAACCTAGGCCCTCTGAGATTAAGGAAACAAACTTTAAAATCAAAACCACATTCCAATGTCTGAAAAGATATTTTTTTTTTGTTCAATTCTTTCATAAAAACATTGGTCACTATTTAACATACAGAGGCAACAAAATGTACCCAGTTCACATGCATCAACAGGTCAGTGAGTCATAACACAAGAGCCACACAAACGCTGAGCAAACAGTCCTCCCAGCCCATGACAGCTAGCTGGAGCTCTGTTGCTGACAGAGGAAAGGCGGTCCAGTTCCAGCTGATGTCAGATTCTCTGTGGCAAAAACACTGAACAAGGGTCTCATGGAGCCATTGACTTAAGGGGGCCATCTTCAGAAATCACATTGTACAAAGAGCCATGTGAAATCGGAGCAAGGACCTAAGAAAACAAAACCTTTGGCTAAGGACAAAGAGACTTTAGCTGTGTGTGTCTGCTTTATTGATTAAATATGGTTCCATGTTTCACTGAAAATGTGGATGTCTTTCAGCGTGAAAGTTACACGTTTCATGTGTTGACAGCTCAGATGGCTGAAGATTTAACGACACTGGCTTAATTCTGTAAGGACTGGGATGTATAAGAGAAAGAAAAAGGAAATCAACAATCAAAAGTCCTTCCTAAACTCCAAAACAGGTTTCTGGAAATGGGATTTAATAAGAAGGAAAGTTAAGCACCGCAATACAACACTTAAAGACAAAAACAGGAAAGCCACCAAAACACAAAGGGCGGACACGCACTCACATTTTACACAGAAAAGGAAACACTCTAATCTATCAACCTGGACTCCTCTTCCTGGTGTCTGTGTGCTATGTGGAAGAAGATAAAATGACAAGTCTGTCTGCAATCTCAAATCCTGTAATTCTAATTTGAGCAAAGGAAAATGTTACTTGAGCACATGAAAACTGGATAATTTTTATACTGTCTATTTTATCTTAAGCTCTATGATAAATGGGCAACACTATATCATCCCAAAGTGCATTTTCTTATGGAAGAGAAGTCTGCTTTAAAAAGAGCTTGAAGTAAATATGTGTAAACAAAACTCCAAAATAAGATTTAAAAGGCATAGTCATGCTAATTTTGTGTTTTCCATCTAGTTAGCCACCATGGATAATTTTAATTCCCCAAAGAATAAATTCTACCTTCAGTTTCTCTCTTTCATATGTTCGATTATTCTGTGACATGTTAACTTTTTAGCACGTGTGGACCCCACAGGAGAAAACTTAGGATTCCCACGTGATTTAGATCAGACATATAAGCACAGACACGAGCAACTTTCAAACCAACCATGTGCTACAATCTCCACAAAACAAAAATTTCAAAAAAAGGGAGAAAGGCTCTCCTCATGTTATGTTTGACTAGACTATACGGCAAAAAGCAAAATACAAATCACATGTTATTTCTAAAAAAAAAAAAAATCACCCAAGAAAAATCACAAAGTGAGACCTAATGAGATTAGGATTCTGTGCATGGACTATTTAGATTCATTCCCTTCTGATGAGACAACAGCATGTCTGAGGGGAAATCCTCCCAAAGTAACAGAACTGATGCCACCCGACTCCACCTCATCCTCCATAAACCTCCTTCCATTTTCTATCCTCCCCACCCCCAAAAAAAACAACAACAAAATGGAGCACAATTTCCAAATATCTCAAATTCCGTAGTCCACCCTGATTTCTTAATCCCTATTCTCAAAAATGTGAGCACTGAAGTGGTCTTTCCCTCACAAACCAGAGCTCACGGTGCGATTATTACAAGGTGGGAAACTAAAGGTAAAAAGTCAACTAGAAATAAGTACACTTTGTTAGTATATGTGGTATATGTAAAAGGAAGGCCAGCAAATCCATCTTTCTGGTTAATCTCTGGCCCTTAAGACAGCGTGGTTCAAAATTAAAATGAACCAGATACACTTAAAGCACAAATCTCTATTCATTTGGAATAGATGTGAAAGCTCTAAAGATGAGTGAAATTATATGACTGTAAATGTTTACGGTGAAATAACACAGAAATGACGCCACCAGGCAGGGAGTTAAAGTTTCAACTGATATTAAACATCTGAAATAATTTGGAGAAACCCTAGCAATGAATTATAACCACCAAGAAAAAAAAACATAAATTGGTATTTCCATGCATGTACATGTTACATAACAAATACGCAAACCCCAAGTCAGTACAAGTTAAATAATATGTCGATACACAGATAAGAAGAAAAGATAACATGTTGACTGCCACTGAGGAAAAGCATCTCAACATAAATTGTTTTTAAAAAGATGTCTTAAGAAGACCAAGCCACAATAAGTTAGTGTTTCCACAATACATGCTGAACTATTTGATCCCGTATCTATATACAGTTACTGTCTTCACCACTAAACGCTGTGACAGTATTTTTTTTTTTAAATGACTGAGGTACATTAGTTTACAGCTTTTTATAGGTATTCTAAGATGATTAATTAATTTGTCGTTTCCAGTTTTTCATCTTCTTCACCTCCTCCAAAGAAAAACAAAGGGAACATTCCTAGAATGCAGCCAATAGTCACGCCAACAGCCTTGCCCTAAGGAGACAAAAGAGCATGTCTTAAATGTCCTTAACATAGATATCATTGCATAAACACTAGCAACAACAGTCAATTGCCACTACAATTGTATTCCTATTAATTATAGAAACCTAAGTATTAAAATAAGCTACCAAACACACACAACTTGCCATTTTAAAGTTCAGAAGATTAAGGGAAAAATTCAACATAAACTCGACATCAAAGAAACATTCAAGTAGAAAACACTGCTTTAATCGTTTGTGTATTTTAATGTCAGAAGACCAGAACACAGGATGGGGGAAACATAGCAATTATTCTCAGTATATTTGGATTTGATATCTTCGGATACAGTCCTTCAGTACTAAATCCCACAAATGCTTAGCTATATGAAGATACAACCATTATAGAAACAGTGTTGCTCTCTGCCTCAAGCAATCTACATTGTGAAAAGTTTAAAATTTTAACTTCCAAAACTGATTTAAATTTTGCATTCCTATGAGGACTATCAAATTTAAACACTTTTAAATTAGATTTTCTTTTTTTTAATGTTTCTTTTAAAGACAAGAGTTTTTCTGTGTAGCCCTGACTGTAAGTTTTCCTTAAAAAAAATACCTGTCTTATTATTTTTAATTATTTGTGTGCATATGTCTTTGTGAGGCCAGAAGAAAACACTGGACACCCTGGAACTGGAGTTAGGGACGGCTGTGAGTCCGAGTGCTGGGAACTGAACTGGATCCTCTATTAGGAGTACTTGCTCCTAACATCTGAGCCATCTCTCCAGCCCCTTAGTTAAGTTTTCTTTTTCATTCAATCATTCATTAAGATTCTGTTATGTACTAAACTCTCTGTGCTGCGTAATCCCGAGACAGGGGCCAACCACATGGAGTTACTGCTCCTCTGGAACTCCAGCTAGAAACACAGAGAGACAAAGCAAGTCCCATCTGACATTACAGATGCTGTGCTAGCTACATAATCTGCAGCACTGAAGGAAATCCTTTCTTTTGGATACCGTCCAGTAAGGAATCAGATCACGGAGTATCCGTAATAACTTTCAAAGTAGAATCTATGTTCTGACAATAGTGTATACAACACTTTTTCAATCTGTTACTATGGTGTTTTGTTGTTTATTATAGTGGCAGTAGTACACCTGTCTTTTACATTAATTGTTAAATCTGTCAATCTCATTATGTGAATATTTTTAAAGGTTCAGAAATATAGCAAGAAGAAATCTGTTCCGTCCAGATACTAATAAAGCCAGTCCTCAATTCCTTACTTTGATCTCACATTGTACTCATATATATTGCAACACAGACTATTCTGCTTGGCTCCTGATTGCCCTAGGATGTGACCAGTGCTAAGAAATCCCTCACTGCCCAGCCATTCTGTTAAAATGACTTTCACTATCACCCAGGGTGAGGAAGAGTCCCCTATTGCTCCCTTGAGAAATGCTGGAGCAGGGTGATCGTTGCCTCCATTAATATTTCAATACACTACTATTTGATCTTTCCTCCCCTATGAAACACTCAGGAATGACCACCGTGAGGGACTACAGTATAATGAGGATGAGTTCCAGAATAACCAATGAATAGCAGAATCTTTGGGTGCTCAAGCCCTTAATTAACCAGTCTGGGAACGTTTGAACAAAAAAAAAAATGAAGTATACTTATAAAAATAACAGATAACAAACTATTTTTCTGACAGTATTCAAGGCCTGGGTAGCTTTTCGAAGCACGTCTCAAAACTGCCACGCTAACCACCAGCCTTGTGCTCACGAGCCACGCAACTTACCAGATGTGTGCTAACACGCGTTTGCCACATGTCAACTTGCTTTGGTGTAAGATCAGGAATTGATAGACCTAACCTGGAAGCCAAGGCCTCAACATAACCTGCAAGGCTTCAAGAAAACAGAAGACGTTTAAGGGGGCATGCATATATCTCCATATAGTAAAAACCTACCACCTCAAAGAGAGAAGGGAGTTTTGTCCCTGTGCTCATCACTCTAGACAAACCAAAAAAATTGTACAACTTCTGCTTTTATTATATATAGACAATTCTAGTTTAAAATCACTTTCAAATTCACATTTAAACACAGTGACTCAGAGCATCTGTTCTTTATCATTATCTTTGAGAGGCCAATTAAAGTACATACTTTTTATATAAATAATCAAAATGCTGTACTTACTGCAAACTCAGAGCAAAGTATTTGAGCATATGATTTAACTTGATAAGTATAATCAGAAAGTGACAGTTTTTAAAAATTCATCAGACGCCTAACACTTTTAGCCTACCGGGGATTCTAAGTTACCATTGCTGTCGGAAAGAATCTTGTTCTAAGCACTCTCAGAAGAAAAGAGCCTGAGAGTTACGCATGCTGATAATCATAAGGTAGGTTCTGGCTTCAGCTGTGAAGCACTTTGAAAGTGTGCGTCTGAGGACAAATAAAATGTGGTACTTGTGAGAGATACTGAAAACAGAAGACAGGGAACAGTTCTCAGACATAAAAGCTCTTTATAAAAATCTTCACACCTCAATCTAAAGCTAAGTGGCTTTAAATTCTATCGTTGGCTCTACTAATAGATCAGAACGCTACATATGAGATGCAATATTGTCAATATTAAGCTTGAAGTTTGAAAATGGGAAATTGAATGTCAAAGAGGCCTCATCAAGATTAGATTTATGGCGAGAATTCTAGGAATATAAAATCCCAATCATGGCCCTAAAGAAAAAAACAAAACAATTTAAAATTAGTTTTTGCCCCAAACATAAGCATAGATTCTAATATTGAGGGTCAGATCCTTATAAAATGTCTCTGCCTACTATACGCTAAAATAGAGTCCTAATAGATCCAAACCCAAATCTCAAAATATACCAGTTGAGTAGCCAAGAAAGGAAGCCAGTGTCAATGACAGAACAAGAGAGATGTTTGTCCTAATATTTCATGCCAACTTCTCAGCTTCCCCAAGCCCAGGCAGCAGCCCAGGCCATCTGCCACCTGGAAGAAGGTGAGAAATTCAGCTTTTCCAAGCAGCCATCCTCCGTTTGTGTTAGCATTTTGCCACATTGAAGAAAAAAAAATGGCCAAGTAAATATAAGCTTTGGAGGCTGGGGTATGGCTCAAAGGCAGAACACAGACTCAGCAATGCATAAAACCCTATATTCAACCTCAACATTGGTGGGAGAAAGGGAGGGGAGGAGGGAGGGACAGAGGGGTGGAGGGGGAGGAAGGCAAAGGGAGGAAGGGGAGGGACAGAGAATATGGGACACTACTTCCTTTGTAGGTCAGAACCTTTAAATCTCTTAGGGAAGTGAAAACCCTCTGTTCCCATTGGAGATGTCCACAAAATGCATCTTCAGGAAATAGAAATTCCATTTTGCTTATATTTTTATCATTTTAGGCTATGACAGTGTATATAACATGGTGACATAGTTCTATCCATTTTCGGAACCACCGATTCAGTTTTATACACTCATGGCCAACAACTATATTTGATTTCCACCAAATATTTACTATTACTGATTTAGAAATATTAAACTTAAAGTTTTAATTTTAGACCCCAAAGGAAAACAACTGCCCTTTTAAAAGGCTTGTTAATTTGAGGAGAATGAAGACAAGAACATACAAGTATGTAACTGCAGAAATGAATCATGAATGAACCTACCCAAGTCCAGCTAAATCTGAGACAAGATTTCCCAAAGCAGCAGCTGGAAATTTGAAAAACACACAATTCTGAGTTATCAAACAAAGCCAGCAGCGGTCACAGCATTACATCAAGTGAGGGGCACCAAGCTCTGAGCTACCAGAGTCAACCTATTTCTCTGCTATAACAACCATGTTCGAGGCACAGCTCTAGGTGCCAAGAGTTTAAAAGAGCACAATCCTAAAACCAGAATACCCTGCCTCCATTAATAGAGTAGTTACCATATAGCGAAAATTTCTGTTCTTAGGCCAGTACAAAATTTCATAGTTGTGCCTGTAGTGTGATGTGTTTCCAGGAATTTGGACATTGGAAGTTCAAGAGCAAAGCCACATAGCAGCTCCAAGTTCAAGAAAGTAAAGGAAGGAAAATGCTTCATTTAAATGTTCAGTGGTAACATTGAATTACAAGAAAAACTTGCCTTCACATAGACAATTTAGTTGAGTGTTGTCACCCACTAACTAGCATAAGTTAGTTACAATTTCTCAGGGAGGAAACAAAAAACAAAAAACTTGCTATATACAGAAAACTGGGAACTAGAAGATTAGGATCAGAGATACCTAAACAAACATCTCAGAGAGCCAATTCAATTCAAACAAACTGTCCTCTAAACCTAACTTATTAACCTTTTAAAACAACATGCAGACAAGAGAATTTTAACATGTGCTATTATTACATACCTGCCATTGTTGAAATCCCTAAAATAATTCCAATAGACAATTCAATTTGGGTTCCCTGAAAAGTAATTGGGGAAAAAAAATTAAAGCTGACATGGCTATCAAAGATATCAATGTACTAATAAAAACAGACTGTGTGGTAAGTGAAAATCAACATGTTGCTGCAACACAATTACACACAAAATACCCGTAAATGTGCACAGCGTGCGGTGATTTCACTCAGTTCTTATTCATATACATTCATGAAGAAATAACCACTAACATTTCATCCACTAGAATTGAGCCTTCCTGAAAATAAATAGCAACACATGGACTAGCCAATTCTTCACTAAGAACCTGATCTCTACATCCTTAATTCTACTTTTCTTCACACAGAAATAAGCTTTAGAGCTCCTTGAACAGAAAGATGGAGGCATGGATGCTAAATTAGGAAACCTACTGCGCCTCTATCTACTCCACCAGGGTTCGAAAGACTAAAGGATTTTCTAGGAAAACTGGTTCGTAAGACCTTCCTCAAACCGTTAAGTAGTGCGCTATGGCTCGAGATGAAGTGGGAACAACATTTAGTCTGGCAGACCCACAGTAAGAGCAGGACCCCTGCACCCACTGGGTTTACTACTGGCCATCAAAGGGCTCCCACATTTATCTTCCCCCTGGGGAAAGAGAGGGGCTCATGTTTCCCACCCACCTTACAGAGGAGGAGCTGAAGTGACTGCCCTGGGCTGTCACACACACCAGGAGGCCCTACGTCTATTTTGCTAATTCAGTTCCAGTCCTTCATGAAGGTGAACTTAGTTTTCTGGAACTGAAAATTTTAATTTTTAAATTTTAACACAGAGGAAAAAAGACTGTCTCATGTATTATACAAAATTTTCCACTGCTTTGTCAGTACGGAACATAAAAGCTGGGAGACATTTTCCTCATTCTCTTGTCCTCTGGTTCAACTCTGTCCCTTGAAGACATAATTCTGGTTGAATATAGCCAAACAGACTCATGTACCACTCTTGCAGACACAGAAAGTTATACACTTCTAAAGGCACCTAAAATAACAGATTTCTAAGGAAAACAAAAGGCAAATAAAAAGAAAGCACAAACAGAGTTAAAAATAACAAGGTAGCTATCTGTCTTACATAAATGCCAAGATGGCAGAGCACCCTGAACAGCAGTGACTCACTGTCAGTGACCCAAGAAGAACCTCTTTAAAAATATGCGTCTGAAAGACCATTTGTGTAAGCTGGAGACAGCTCTGTGGTGGAGAGCCTGAGCATGGAGACAGCTCTGTGATGGAGAGCCTGAGCATGGAGACAGCTCTGTGGTGGAGAGCCTGAGCATGGAGACAGCTCTGTGGTGGAGCGTCTGAACATGGAGACAGCTCTGTGGTGGAGAGCCTGAGCATGGAGAAAGCCCCATGGTAGAGCATCTGAGAGCTTGAGCACTATTATCCCCCACAAAGTAACAGTAAGAAACAAGTATTGTGTGCTTTACATTTGGTGAAATGTGGGGTGCTTGCAGGTCCTTCAGAGAGTGTAAAAACTTCATATAAATCCAAAGATGTTTGGGGGACAATTCCCCACTTCTCTACTGTTATGTGTTTAAAAAAAAATTTAATAGGTGAGATAGGAATTACAAATAAATCTAACAAGTTATCAAAGTAACACTTTGTTTATCACCTTAATTACACTTATCTTACAATTAATCTATTCTAAAAAAAAAAAAAAAAAGTATCCTAAATTGCATTGTAAAACAAAGCAATTCCCCTAATGACCAAAATAGAAATTATAAAAAGCAATCCAGGAATATAAAAGTATAATAAGCTGTAAAGCCTGGGTGAGTATTACTAAGTCTACTTGACCCTATCATAACTGGCTATACAGAAACTCGCACTCATGACTACAAAGAGGGCAGCAGCCAGAAATGCACATCTAACAGAAGGGAGGGAAGTAAGCGTTCAGCATGACAGGGCAGAAGGCTCAACTTTGTCCTGAGAAACGTAAAACTGATCCACAATGTGAAAAGGCCATCTGTGCTTTAAAACAAACAGGAAAACAAAATTGCTAGGACAGTCATGACTACTCATTCCCCTCTCAGAGATTCTGCCATTGTATTACTTATCTCAAATAAAACGCCTCATTGGAAACTGTCACCGTCTCTGAAATAGCCTTCAACTACAGGGATAGTCACCATCGCTTTTATCTGGTGTCAGTGATTTAAAATACCTATTCTGTAAAAACTGTATCCAACGGGATGCATCCTTGAGGATGGGTTTCAGTGCAAACAAGTTAGCGGTAATTTGGAGTTAAGACTCTTGGGTCTGGAAAACCACTCTAGTCTGAAATACTAAGAATGAGGTATAGGCCTGAAGGATACAAAATAATAAAACGGAAGTGGCTGCAGTGTCTGATGTGCTCTGCTGGGTTTGGTCTAGTCCCAAAAGCTACACCTACACACAGACATCTCTTGAGCCTCTTATAAGACGCTGTCTGAATAGATCTAAGACGCTATTAGCTTCCCATACTCCTCCATCTTCAGACTATCCCTACATCCCCTTAATCCAAAGTGTGCCATCTCCACAACTGCCAATAGCACAGGGCAGTTTGCAAGAGCTGAGTGTTTAAGGTGTGCCTGCCTTATTGAGGAAGTTTATTACAATGGTGGCTTGAGCACTAAAATGTTGAGCAAAATAATGGGTAAGTGAAATATTTAGCACAGAGGTGCTCTCCATCCTCCTCACGGGCACACAGTCAGCTACGGCTTATAAACTCAACATAAAATAGCTTTTATTGCAAGCAGGTATGCTTTGCTTAATAACAGTAATTTAGCCAACTCAATGTTAGTAGCCTGAGAAGAGCGGTGTGGTTTTAAATACTTAAATACTCTTCAGACATGTGTACAAATGCACATCAATTTTATTCTTATGTGTATGCTAGGAAAGTATCATAATCCTTAAAAACAAAATGTGACTGTTCTAGAATGACATTTTAGGGGCACTAACTTAATGTGCATCAGCCTTGGGAAGTTGGAACTTTGTCACGGCATGCTACAAAAAACCCTGCAAAGGTGTTTATGACCCCAAGCTGTGCACAGGAAGAGTCACTGTGTGACCCATCAATACCAGCCCCTGAACCTTGCTTAGACCAGAACAGCTGCACCCTCTGTAGCAACCAAATCATCTCAAATGAACTGACTTTAAATACTCTAAACAATGCCCGCAGTCTATAAAATGATTATGTAAATTACTTTTTAAATCTCTATTTCATAACTAAATCTATTTATGCTCATTCATAGCACAGGTAAATTCTAAAATACCAAAAATAAACTCTTCCATCACCCCTACCTTCCCTACCCACCCTTTTTCTCTCCCCCACCTTCTAAGCAGTTTCTTCAATAATAGTTAATAGAAAATTCTTATACTTAGACTCTGTGAGACTCACAGTAAATTCTCAGCATTCTAATTCAGACAAGCTTTTTTTTTTTTTTCAAATGACTCTAAGAAAGAAATCTACCCTTTGGGCATCCAGAAAGCAGTAAGTAATTTATACTGTGTCTTCTTTCAAGGGTTTAAGTAGCCTTCCATCTCTTTACTGTTAATATCCAAGAAAGATGGCTGCAAGAAGCATCCTAAAGGTACGTTTAAAAGTTAGTAACTGCCTTGACTGAACTATGAGAAAATCATTATCTTTATATAAAATAAAAGTAAATCAACACTGGGAAAGCCTTAAAATACATGTGTTTTAATCATTACTTTGTTAGGAAAGTGTACCAAACATTAGTGTCCACTAAAAGAGATATCATTAATATAAGAAAGGCAAAGCAGGCATTCCTGAGCTTGCAGTTGTCATAGCAAAGGGGAATTCTTTAATACTACACATGTAACAAAGCAGAGGGTATTTTTAAGGGAATCTTGGGACATTTTGGGTTAAACGTTGAGACTAAAGCCTAGGCTATGTCCCAAAACACTTACTAAGATATTCTAGAGTGAGAAAATGGAACAAGGAACTAATCAAAACCCTCTATATGGGATGACAAGTACCAACACAACTAAAACATACCCGACATTTTATATACAGTTGCTTCTTTATAAAAATATTAAAACAGAAGTATATGAGCCATAAGTGTTTGTCTGCATGCTTTCTCAAAGGCTTTATGATTAATATACATAACACTCTAAAATTGAACTTGCCCACTGTTAATTAACTTGATAGGTATAATATATCAATTATTAGGAATATGTAGAACACACTAATTTCTTTATTAACTCAAAATAGAAGTGTTGAGAAGACTTACTGCAACAATCATAATTGCATTATCCAAAAAGCCAAACCCTATGAAAGGTATCGCATTGTGGAAGAATACTGAAAAACATCAAAACACAGAAAAATATATTTTAAAATTTTGATAACTTTAGAATGACCAAAGCAGGCTGTGTAATTAAAGCTTCTAAAGAGACTTGATAACAATCACAGATGCTGTTGTTGCTGTAAGTTTACTTACAGAAGCTATGCTGGGAGACAAAACACAAATATGTAACAAACAACCTTAGGCCTTTATGTTTTCTTACCAGCAACGCATACACATACAGTTCATGGGAGAGTAAATCTGTAAACATGTAATGACCCCACTTAACTGGACCCACATCAGTCTATTTCTCTTGTCCCTGAGGACTAGCACAACAGTGCCAACCAACCTCTGTATATGTAGTAATAATTTTAAAAATGCCTACACTCAAATTCTAGGCAAGCAATTTGACTGCTTTTACTTCATAATCAACTTTTTAAGTAATTTTAGGAAATGGTGATTGCCTTCATCTGACATCTACAGGAAGTCTTTAACATCTCAGAATCTACCAGAATTCCTAAATGCTACTGAAAACTGTAAAATTGGTATTTGTTCGATATCAAACTGTGGCTTAAAGGCCTCTTCCTACCAAAGACACTTCTCATCTCATCTATCTGATACATAACCTGAAACCTGGGGTATTAAAAGTCAAAGCAGGAAAAACGAGTTTTGGTTTTTATAATCTAATATGTATGTATGTATGTATGTATGTATGTATGTATGTATGTATGTATCTTCAGCATACTATACAATGCTGAGTACATAATTGAGGACCACTAATCTGAAAAAGAAGCTAATTCCATGCTTAGACAACTAGAAGCATATTGTGAAACAGGTTAAAAGCTGGGAACCAGAAAAGACTATTTATCCTATTTGATATTTACACCCTTAGGTATAGCCAACGTCAGCTCAACTGACAACTTCCTATAATGAACATCAAGAATCTGAGTTTTATACTATATTTAAAAACAGTCCTCCCTTAAGCCAGTTAGCTATATTTGTTAGTGACTTCAGATTCTTTTTTTCTTTTAATGCAGTTAAATATGCAATATAATTAAAATATAATCCAGAACTAATGAAAATGATATTCTATGGTATGAATTCTGCACCATTGGGAAAGCTAGTAGACAGTAAATCAAAAAAAAAATTAACACTTCTACCCATAACTACTATCAAAGAAATATTATCTTCAGAATGGTAATATGCACCATTGTGTACAGATTATTACACTTTCATTGTTACTGTGCATAATATACGATAGATAGATAGATATAACCAGTCATTTCTGGTCTCTGCTTGTCACAGTAACAATGTTCATGATTAAAGAGCAGAATATTCCATTGTGACTATTACTGTGAAAGCTATCAAGATGGTAAACGTCAAACACCACATTCATGAAATGGGATTAAACCCAAGAACCCAGCCTTACTTCTCTGGCTTTTCACCTAAATCCATTGGGCACCTACTGAACACTTGACTTTTTATAGTTAGCAGCTTCCAAAACACACACACAATCCTACCTTCCAACTACAACATATACTCAATGGGCAAAAAATGTCACCCAAAGAAGCCACACAGTGAAGGAAAACCTGTCCAGGCATATCTAGACACAGCCTTCTCCATGGTTTCTGAAATACAAATATGGCAAAATAACCAAGAAATCAGCTGAGGTGCCTTAGTATTTGAACAATATAATGACATCTCTAAAATTAGCCAGTTGTAAATACCTTAAAGCAAATGTTAATGGCATTAAGATTGCACTAATAGTTCGTCCTGGTTGAAGCCTGGTCAGTAGAGCTAAGGCATACAGGCACACTAATCAACTAATAAGCTATGAAGTAGATCTTTACATTTATATTTAAATAAGTCTGCCATATAAGTAAAATAAAAATGCTTTAATTCAAAGGGGGAAAATAAAGTTCCTCAAAGAAAACATATGCACTGGGCACCCTATTGGACACTCGAGATATAAAGGCTTACAACACTTGGTTTCCACATTTAGACATAGAAACCGAAACACATAAACAGTTCATGTCAACATCGCCTACAAAGAATGACAACAGTGAACTATCAGTAACGGGTTGAGAATCTGGGCTGGAACAATCAGGAATGATTACCTGACAAGAGAGAGCTTAAAGAATTCTTAAATCTTTTAGTGTTCGAGGAAAGTTACTAATTGCCAACATAATTATATTCTACCTATGAGAGGGAAAAGGACTACTTCCTTCCTACTGGTCTGAAGTGGCCTTCCAGTGAAGAATAGTCTCCTACTAATTCACTTTTTCTTCCATTCCATTTGGCAAACACTATTCTATAGCTAAGCAGTTGTTAGCAAATCACATTTAATATTCAATTACCTGCTTAATTACAAGCTACTCAAATTCACCGCCACACATGTAAATGACTCTCTTCTACTGTCTTTTAATAAGACCCTAAACTTTCACATCACTCCCATACTTATTCTAGCATAAGAAGAAGGAAAAAACAGGGAGGCTCCATAATGAGCTTTCTTCCTCCTCAAATGAACTTCTCTTGCTTTCTTATAGCCACAAACGCTACACAGAAACACACTCTGCATCAGAGAACAGTTAGCCTGAATCTAAAATTAAGTTCTACAGTTACCTAATTTAAATTTTGGCAAGGAAGTAAATATAACACATATTTTCCTGCAAATTAAGACAACTTCTAACAAATTTACTTTTATTACTAGACAAGAACATTTCAAAAATAATAGCTATCCCATATTGTGATATATCTTCAACTATGTTTAGAAAGTACTCCTATATGAAAAATTAAGATAATCCATTCTATCAGAAAGGTTTGATTGGTTGACTTTCGCCCTATTATAAGAAATAGCTCGTTCAGGTTCAAAAGAGAGATTACATATCAATGTAACAATTATAGTGCCATTACCATATCTCAGCTGTCCTGGAGTGGGTGGTAGAGCTTCCAACTTTTCTAAAGGGGAAGAAAAAGAATGGAACAAGAGTTAGTTACTACTATATAGCAACAGATTTACAAACTGGAAAGATATGTTTAGTTAGTTGATCAAAATTATCCATTTTAAAGAATATTGGTTTGGAGTAAATGACAAGATTAGGGTTAGCTAAGCAGCTTCAGCCATATGCTGGGGGTCACACACATGGGTGTTCTCTTTTATTTAGGTCATGGCATCACTGTGCAGGGAACCTATATGCATCTATTATAGTAGAATCACATTCCAGAAATATAATTTGTCTTCAAATGGAAACTCTGGATGACTTAACAAATACACACAAACCAATACTGACAGCAGAAAAAAAAAAAAAGACACTCAAATATACTTATATTAGTTTGTTTATTTATTTAGAGACAGGAACATATGCAATCCAAGTTTGCCTCAAATCCCCGATCTTCCTGCCTCCACATTCCAAATGCTGCAATGAGAGCAACGTCATTACAACAATGGTTTTACTGGCTTGTATAACGTCCACTGAACAACACAGTGGAGTTTTAATTTTCAAAACTATACTCCTAGAGTAAGTTGTGTATACGCTGAAACAACCAAAAATGTATAATGTTATTATTTAAAATAACAAATAAAAATATATTACATATAATATATGGCAGACACGTGATCTTTAATCAAAAAAGAAAAAAGAAAAAAACCAAGAGGCAATATGTAATATATGACAAAGTTTTCCAAGAATTAACAAATGTCTCATACATTTAGAATAACTTATGTAAATCAAGATAAAATAAATTAAATAAATTTAGAATTACTACAAAATGCAAATAAGCTAGTCCCTCAATCAGAGCATCTCACCATCTGTGAAAGCAGAAAATGTCAATACTTCCACCTTCTCTTTCCTCATCCAGCCAAATGGAGTGAGGTGTGTCTCCCAGAGGGCTCCCAGTGCAGCAGTGTGCAGAGATGGGGTACGGGGGCCCTGACTTATCAACAGACCCAGCCTTTATGGAGTTGTGGAACGGTGGCATTGCTGGGAGGTGGTGGGAAGTACAGTGTGGGTCCTAACTGGAAGACATGCTTGGAAAGGTGCCCCGTCTTAGTGCCCAGCCCCTTCCAGCCTCTGCTTGCCGGCCACCACAGGGTGAGCAGCTTTGTTCATATGCTTCTGCCATGACAGTGGTCTGCCTCATCATCACCCAAAAACAATGCAGCCAGCCAAGCACAGACGGAACCATCTGAAACTGTGAACCAAGAATCTTTCCCTTAAGTTTCTTTTCGTATATTTGGTCAAAGCAGCAAATAGCTGAATAACATGGTGGAGAAATATTTTCCAGCACATTTTGAGAACTAAATACTAAAAACAAAGCTCAACAAATAAAACCAAAACAGAAAGTTACAGGGCTAGAGATCTAGTTCAGAGATAAGAGTACTTGTGTATCAGGAACAAAATGTAGGTTCAGGACTTGGGAGGTTCAATCTTTGAAACCAAAGGGAGAAGGAAAATTGAAAATTATAGACCAACTTCCTTCATGAACACATTAATTTATAGTAATACAAATACTAAAGTACCTTAATATTTTTTAAAAAATCACTTCTGGCATGCAGTGGTGGCACAAACCTCTAATCCCAGCACTCGGGAGGCAGAGGCAAGTGGATGTCTGTGAGTTTGAGGCCAGGCTGGTCTGCAGCGTGAGTACTGGGAGAGAAAGGCAGGGTTACACAGAGAAACCCAATCTCGGGGGGTTGGGGGGAGGGGGGAGGAGGAAGAAGGGAAAGAGAGAGGGAGGGAAAGGGGGGAGGGAGGGGAGGAGAAAAGGGGGGAAGATTAATTTCTGAAACCGTCAAAGGGGCTGGAATGACAGCTCCGTGGGTAAGAGCGCTGGCTGCTTTCCACACGGGGTCAATTCTCAGCATCCACTCATGGCTCACCTCACTGTAATTCCAGTACCCTGGGTTCTGACAACTTCTAACTTCTACAAGAAATGCATAGACATAGCCCATGGACATACATGTAGGCAAAACACCATACATGTAAAATAATATATCTAAAATAAAAGTTGATTTTTGAAAATGTAAGATAGGAGGACTCCAGTTTTCTAAGCGAGCAAACCAGCCAGAAAAGCAGGGCAGTTTGTACAAGACTGTAACTACCTGAGGAATGGCTCATTTTCATTCCTTGATGGCTGAGATATATACAGTGTACCCCATTAGAATCTTCACTGTGATGCTGAGTTCCTAATTATCTAAGAAATGTAAAACTAAAGGGAGCTGACACACAAACCACACATGAATCAGAAAAGAACATTTCCCCCTCCTATTCCAGAAATAAAACTTTGTTTAACCCAGATGCTTTTGAACTTGTTATATAAATATGTAAGTGTTACACTGTGTTCATGTAAAGAAAATGGCAAGTTAGATTAGAAGAGGAGACAAAGGGAAATGAGAAACAGGAAAATGAAGGTGTTTTTTTGTTTTTTGTTTGTTTTGTTTTTCTTTTTTAAGGAATTAATTCGAGGTTTTATGTCAATAGATTTTTTTTAAGCTTGAGAAGAAATGAAGGCCACATAGAAAGCTGGAGCCTGAGCCTCCGTTGCTGGAGCACAGGTTTGCCAGCCCCTCCGCCCCATCTGCTTTGCTGCTCAGCCATTCAGAGGTCTCTGCCACTGGGTCAGATCACTGGCAGGCACAGCACAGTGCCAATCACCCTGGGACAGCAGAGAAACCACCCCAGCTGCACCCACTTGTTGCTTGGCACTAAGGTTCCAGAACACCTTGGTTATGTTCTGAAGAGTTGACTTTGAATTCTTGGCCAATTGTTTAGTTGCTTTTTCTTCCATATCTAAAGTAGCATCCAGTGGAAGAGGAAATTACTAACTGTAGGTTAGGTTCTAATAAACTGAACTCCAGTTAATTAGGGTTTTCATTTTGCTACACTGGAAAATATCCAAGATGCTTTTTTCATTGGTAGAAGCTTGTCCAGCAGCCTAAAGGCATCTAGTGAAACTGCCTTTATTCCCTCACAGCAATCAGTGAATGTAGGGAGGTGCAAGACCAGAAAGGGTTAACAATAATGTCTCAAATAAATAAGAAACAAATAAAATCAGGCATGGTAGCACAAACCTTTAATCCCAGCACTCAGGAGGCAGAGGCAGGTGATCTCTGAGTTTAAGACCATCCAGGGCTATGTAGGGCAACCTTGTCTAGGTAAGTAGGTAGGTAGGTAGGTAGGTAGGTAGGTAGGTAGATAGATGATAGATAGATAGATGATTGATAGATAGATGATAGATGATTGATATATAGATGACAGATAGATAGATAGATAGATAGATAGATAGATAATGATAGATGATTGATGGATGGATGGATAGATAGATAGATGATAGATAGATAGATAGATAGATAGATAGATAGATAGATAGATAGATAGATGATAGATGGATGGATGGATGGAATCTAAAGACACATACCAGAACAAGGACAGTAACCCTCGACCTGAGCCTGCACTGTTTTAGACCCCTATGACCTAACCACTGTAAAGCAAACATTTCCACTTTAGCACTCACATTTGCTTCAATCCTAGGATACTCCCACTAGATTTTACCCATAACTCACAGCTGAAATGTGACATTCATTGAAATGTTTTACCACTGACACTGGAATGTACCCTTTATAAAAACTCGGATTACAGTGGAAGCGTATGTAAAACTGCACTGTACAGGGAGGGACAGAGCTGCCCGTAAGGAAGGCAGGCATGCCACTGCCGCTTTGGGTCGGGGCCTCCGGATCCACCCAGCATCTGCCCCAGGAGGAGAGCCAGCAGCACAAATCAGTCTGCGAAGGAACTCAGGACGGAGAACAAAGAAGAAACTGATGTTTTAAACAGACTAAGATTCAAGGCAAAACGAATATCTATTTAGTTTTTAATAGAAAAAAAAATCAGATGTGTATGATGAAATTCACAGTAATGCATTAAAGAGTACAAAATGCAAACCACACTGCAGGCAAAATAATTTAGCTAGTTATATTAGATGACAAAAGCCATGCACCAAAAAAGGGGATTTATAACACAAACATGGCTGCTAGGTAAACACACTTGCAAGAAACAACAACAAAAGAACACTCTAGAAACAGCACTCAATTGAGTTAGTAGAGTTTAGTTAATAGGTCCTTTTGAATAAAAATTTCACAATCATACTTTAAATAGATGCTTTGGGTTAAACTCATGAAAGTATTTGAATGTGGTCTTCTAATTTTAATTTAACAATTAGAAGTGTTTATTGTAAGATATGCATTATATTGGCAAAGGTACTCCTGCTCAGAGCTTAGCAGAACTGTGCATTCCCTCAACCTTCTGGAGAACCCGATGGGTAACGCAAGGATGGACTACACCCAGCCCACCGGTACCCAGGAGCTCCTGGGCCAGAGACAGCACAGCTCATACAGGAGCTGACCTCGTGCTGACAAGAAGGCTACAGCGCTCAACAAGACCCTAATGCACTGATCTTTTAAGTCCTACCTTAAGTGTAATCAGCACACTAAAGATACATCACTTCGTTCTCCTCCTGTCTCTCATTCCAGAGTACCTGTCTTTTAAGATAACCAAACACACTGCTGGTGCACAGTTGCTTTTATATATGCAGCTATGTACATGCAACAATGAGACACTTCTTTGCAGACTCCCCTGCCTTTTGCCTATGAATAACAGGAAATTACTACATTTCTTTCTTACAGGCTAATACAGTAAAGCAACTGACTTTAAGAAAAGTCAGATCCTGCTACTTTTACTTACTGTGGGTATTAATTTTTTCTTTAAAAAAAAAAAAAGTCATATAGCCATGTATATTACAAACAAAAAACTTAAACTGAGATAGAAAAATCTACCTATTATAGAATACCACAAATAGTACATCTGTCTGTGAGTAGGGTTACATAACCCCCCCGCCCAAAGACATTCATTTTACAATAAAACTGTAACATCGAGGAAAGAACAGAGGTTGTTTTCAGGCGA